TTATTTCAAGTAGTTAGTTAGTTAGTTACTTTCCATTTTATAGTTAGTGGTGTCATAGTTAGTTATGTAACTAATTATTTTGTTAGTTTGTTAGATTGTTAAGTTGTTAGTTACTCTTTTCTTTCTCCACTAGATTGACAATCTCACATGTATATATACACCTCTTGGGTGATCAATGCAATCAATCAATCATCTTCTACAATACAATCTCAAGAGTATACTTTGATATTCTCCTTATGGAACTTCACAGCCTCATCAATGGCTGCTCAAGTTCAGCTTGAAGGTTTCGATAGTTTTGAGGGTTATTGATATGCAATGTTTTGTGGATTTTCTTTTTTGTTTTGGTCCTATTGTCCTCATTTCTGTTTGATGTAGTCAGGGTATAGTTCCCTCCAAGAGGTTATCAATCTCTTCAGGGCATAATTGGTTTTGGGAAGAGTAGCTGCAGATAAAGACTGCCTTATAATGAGGCATGTTGGATTACCTCTTTTTATCCATTCCTGGATGGCTTTCCCTTCATTTTTTTGATCGGTTTCAAGCGTGAAGGGATCATTGAATATCTGTCCAGTTATTGGACAGACAAAATCTTTTGGTGTCCTTGATGGAGCAGTCAACTTATCTTACAATGGGAGAGAAATGCAGCTGAGACTTATTCCGAGAGATGTCATTGTTCGAAGAGATTTAGAAAAATTTTATCTCCTCCTGTATTAGAAACTAGAAAGTGACTTTTAGAGACATACCCTTTTTCTAATGATTGAGTCCTTAACATGTCCAGACAAGATGTGTAACACAGGTACACCTTTTCTCGAGGGGTATCTGATCTTCTTGGTGAAGGCTCTTCTGAATAAGGAGTTTTTGGGGACTCCACTTCAGGGAACACCTTGGGAGATTGCTTTTGGTTTGTATTAAGTTGCTTGACTTTAGACCTGGCTTCTACTTAGGATGAACTGTTTTCTTCATTCGTGTTATTTGACACAATGTGTACATGTGTCTCAGGCTTCATCCTCTTCGGTAATTCCTTTATGAGTATGACAAGAAAGACCAATGCATTAACTTGAATAAACTCAGTACCACAAATGATCACCAATTCATAATCTTACAACAGGATGTAGCAAAGATAAAGGCAAAAAACTAACTACTTTTCCCAAATTGTGGAGTCCTCCTGATTATCAGACGATGAAGAAGTCATATTCAATCTGCTAAGATCCAAATGAATACATATACAAATGTTGACATTTTCTTTGTCAGTTCTCATAAGTCATAACAAACATTCAGTAACTCCTAGTTACTAGACCTTACCAGCTTACCTTGACTCTCCTTTTTGCGTTCTCCTTATATCTCCGAATATGAGTAAAGCCGGCTCTCTTAGGCAACATTGTGATATTTGGAAGTTGAATTCTTTGTTTATTGACTTCCCTTGTATATAAAACAAATTCACTGTTTTTAGCAGGAAATGCTTTAGTTATCAAGGGATTTGTTTTATCTTTTTAAAAATTATGTTTGAGTTAAGTATTCTTTTAATGGCTGAAAAGTATTATGAATGTACAATTATTTTGCATTTAGTAGCAAAACCTTTGGCCTTTTTGTTTTGACGTATCCATTTTACAAGTACTTTGCTTATTCAGAGTATAAACAATATTGGAGAGTACTTAATACGCTGTTATTATTGGCTTCATATTAAGGAGGAGGAAAAATTAAGAACTAAACTTGTTGTACTATTTTCTTTCGTTGAATGCTTGGATGCTACTATTTGGTTGAGTTGATCATCAGCCTTACTGCTTTTTTCATGGAAAAAAGATGATACAATGCCATTAATATATGATACGGTAAGAAAATGGAGATTTGTTGTTGATAAAGTACAGTTTTCATCTCAAATTGCAGCACTTATCTTTTGATATCTAGCCCCTGAAAATAATACTTCTTTGCAAATTTTGAAGGTGTGGGACTTGATAAAACTGGCGAGTTATATCTAATAGAGAGGAAAGATATTGACTCGTCAAGGATAGAATTAGTGGTGAATCACTTGGAGGTTAGGCGAGTCACTTTACAGGCAATATCGAACTTTTTCTTAAACATGTGGAGTTCATATATGTTTTGTGCTGCAGGTATGCATGCATGGTTTGCAGTTTACTGACATTTGTTGTCAAACATGTTTTGACTTTTATCATTGTACTAGGAGAAAGTACAAAAGACAAATCCTAGCATGCATGCTATCTTTGTATCCTAAATGCGTCAAATCTTTCTTTTTTCCTTCACTCCTTAGATTTGGAGTTCTTATTTTTATTAGCATATAAAAAAAATCAGTTTATCCTTGATCACTTCATAAAATATTTGGTGTCAAGTAATGTGGAGCACTGTTTAGTTTTTGTTTTTCGAAGCTCTTGTTAAATATTGTAAACGAGTTAGGTTCAATTTATGATCAATTCAAAAAACAAAAGCTAAACAGTGCTCCACATTGACTAAACAGACTTAAGTATTGCAAAGGTATAAATAAGATGAGAAATGAATACACTTGATATTGTACTAGGCAAAATTCGCCATTTTGTCTATAGTCAGCAGCAGCAAGGTTGAATTTGTAGTGAGGCTATCTTCTTTCAAGATTGCTGAGTGCGGTCATCAGAAATTTGCAGGCTGCTTGCCTCTGTTATCTAAATGTTGAGTAGCCAGAAATCCTTAAGAGAATTGTCTTATTACTAGTCGAGTACTTTGCAGTTGCAGAAAACTTGGGACAGTTCTGGCTGCTGAAATTTTTCTGTTGAACTAAATGGTTGTTGCTTGTTTATTAAGGTGTATTTATAAATTACATATACATTACATGATGTTCTAGCTTTGTTCAGGTATTGCGAATCTTTTCCTCCCTTGAGTCACTGTAATCTAGTCATCTGATGCATCATATCCTTATCCTCCAAGTTTCAAATCGTGCCCCTCTGGACCTCTACGATTTCTCTGTTTTAAAAAATAAAAAAATCAGTACTATAAAGTGTTGATGTGGGGTTTATATAGCCTGGGGGTCGGTCTCTCCCATCTCATTAGTGTTTTTTTGGGTGTGGTTCTCTCCCACCCTAGGTGATTTCTTTCAACGTGACTGTGCTTGTAGGATGTAGCAAGTTTCGGTAGGCTATATAGGTGTGCACAAGTTGAATCAAACACCACTCTTAATAAAAAGACAATTATTCCTTACAATAGGAACCACAATTATGGCTTTTTCCTCCTAGAGAATTGGTAGTTTTTCCAAATAGGATTGATTGAGAGATTAAAAATGGTTGGACCAAATTGAGTAGTTAATAGCAAATTGCTTTTTGCTGGAAATATTTTAGTAGTCTATAAGAACAGTCATAATATCGGAGAATGTTTTTGGTACGGGGAAAAAATATTTTATTGAAAACAAGTTTCTTAAAAATACTCATAGATGATTCTGGAATTGAATAAGTTGATATTACTATTGAAATTTGTTTTCCTATTTGTGTGATATTATTGATATGACAATAAATAAGTGATAGAAAATTTCTTGTTGTAGGTTATCTTGTAGCATTCCCATTTTATTTTCTTTCATTTCTCTAACAGGAAACTCAGGAAGCTGAGATCAAAATGATAAGGAAGAGCTTAAAATTTAAAGCAACACCTATGCCAAGCTTTTATCAGTAACCTGCACCTCCAAAGATGGAGTTGAGAAAGTAGTTTTTTGCTATGTTGTATGTTATAATGCCGAAAAATACAATCTTGTATGGTATGAAATGCCTTTTGTTGTTCTTAGGCATAGTATGTTGAATGTTTAGTGGTTCTTTACCAAAATTGATATGATTTGCTTTATCCTGAAAAAACTTAATATATTTGGTGTTAGGTAATGTGGAGCACTGATTAGTTTTTTTTATTTTTTGAAGCTTTAGTAAAATATAGTAAACGAGTTAGGTTCAAGTTCATCCTTTAGCTGATCTTTTGAATACTTTCAACTAGACACTGAAACTACATGTTCTGTCTAAATGTGATGAACTATGAAGAAAGGAATTGCAGTACGAGTGAGCTTTGAAAAGAAACACTTAGCTAACAATTGTTGAACTGGATATAGCTTGGTAGAGTTGGGAGGTTTAGTGTCTTGACTTTTATACCACCATTGGCGCATCTCCCTTGATATATTTATGTGAAATTGCAGTACTACTGGGCTCCTAAAAAATCCATAGATCAATGGTTAAACTGGATATAGCTTTGTAGAACATTTTCTTGAATTTTTTTGTCACAAATGGAGCATTGCTATTGATACACTTATGTGAAGATTGACTTTATTGTTAGCTAGTGGAATTTCATCATCATTTCTTGTGCTTAGCATGATCCAGAAAAAGAAGTGTATAATAAACTTATCTCTTGGTGAAGTTCCAGTATTATATGTGAAGATCTACTTTTTGATGCATAATTGATTTGGCTGATCTTCGAGGGAAAAATACACGCTTAAATTCTTGGGTTTGTGAACTATAATTTCATTACTGCAGGGCCTCGAGCCTCCGGAGGTGGTGGTGAGGGGGGGAGGGTATCAGGGCAAATGTCTCGAGCCTTTGGGGGGGGGGAGGGGGGGGTTCGGGTTAAGTGCCTCGAGCCTTCGAGGGTGGGGTGGGGGGTTTCGGGTAAAATATGAATTAACTAAATAATATATTTCTTCTAGGATAACCAGCTTCAGACTTTGTATTTTGGTTCTAATATAGTGGCAAAGTTTAGATCCTTGTTGTGCTATGTCTCTTTCTACAATATACAGTTAAGTGAGTGTATGCCTAGACACGATGAATCTCCTTATTGATAACTTTGCAATCAGATGCCTTTTGCCTGTAAACGCATCTTCATTGAATTCTACATATTCACAGATTTTCTTATAGAAGTCGCATTAGATATGCAGGTAAAAATTATTATGTGAAAAGAAGACATTCTCATATACGAGAAACAGAATGAATCTGTAAAAAAGATTCCACCAACTTTAATGTCTTTGTTAGATAAATATACTTCTATATTTAAGTTCGTAGAGCCTTACAAATAGATATTTTTGCATCTCCAAAAAGAAAAAGCATAGGCAAAATGGCATAACAGGCATGCTAAACGCCATATAATGTATGTTGATATTCTATGGCTAAAGGCGTCTGAAAAGTGAGAGATTCGTTTGAGCAACTTCTATGAATCTTGTTGAGCCAACATCTATGTTATTGTTGGCAGCTCTTGCTCTATTTCCAAAACAAGTTAGAATTATACCCTTAAAATCTCTATGTTACGAGCAACTCTTCAATATACTATTTAATGAGTATCTGATTTTTACACCACCAGTTATGTTTTCATCATGAACTAAGGTGATTCATCCTAATCTATTATCCAAAAAGTAGCGGGTCTATTCTTAGCTATTTCAAATTATGAGATGTTACATCTTAGAGGTAAAAATAAGATGAGATGTGAGAAATAATATTGTAGTGTATAATGAGATAAGTGTAGTGAAAGAGAAAATTGAGATTAAGAAAATACTCCAACTCTTCAACTATATTCACTATAGAAAAGTGATTAGTTATATGTTGAAAAAAGTGAAGTTGTTTTGAGTTGTAGGATGTTGTTGGGCGAACCCTTCTAGATGTTTCGACGCTTGATTCTCGAATAGGATTGAATCTAAGATGAATGCTTGATTTACGTTATGGAAGAAAGACATGTATATGTGATATTATATATGAAATGAACTAAAGATATATTTTTCTAGGGGATTCTAATAGACTAGGAGTCCTTCCAGCCCCTTGTGACTGTAAATTGAATGAATAAACGGATGAAATCAAGACATAATTCAACTAACAGTTCAAACCAAGAACAACGTAGCTTCCTTGTACAATAGTTCTCTCTCTCTCTCTGAGAGAGTTATTGGGAAGCATTCTCTCTGCCCTTTCGTATCTGACCCTGACCGACGCTCTCGTCGTCCAAGTCCGCATACCTCTTAAACAGTCTATTTGGTTTTTAAACGCGATCTATTTAACTGATTAACTGTGAACTACGTGGGACTTGATTCTTTTTTAGAAGGTACGTAGGCAGCTCTGCTGTTGTATCTTGAAAGGACAAATCAAGAATATTATGATACCACCACAACATCAATCCCTATGAAATAGTTAACCCATTTGCACAGAGAAGCTATGATAATGTGGGAGGAGGATGAAGTTGAAGTGATGAGAAAGAAAGAAAACTTGCAATATGCTGTGGTAGGAAAGTTTTCATCAAAGAATTGTGTATACTGAGAACTAAAAGGTGAATACCCGTATGCAAAGGGTTTTCAGCACCCTATGCAAATGAACTCTCCCTTAATCATATATTGAGACTCTCATTGAAGCATCCTTAACAGTAGCACGACCTCCCCTTGCACTAAAATAAAAGAAAAATAAGGCCACTCCAGAAAGCCAAAAACAACTCACAGATGTAGTTCCATTTTTTCTAGCAAAAACATGAGCAACTGGCTGGCTCTTTCTACTTTGTCAAGCAATTAGAACAAAAATCTGTCTTGAGTTTAAAAACAAACTAGCATTTCCTAATCAACAGATTGATAGAAATACTTCAAATTATCCCCCTTAAAAATTGCAATGCTAAATCAATTCCTTCACATATACTCCATACTAATGGATTTAATTTAATTCTTTCCCAAGCCTCGTCCTAATATTTTCCCCGTCAACCCACTCCAAATAAGCCTAACAGAAAGACAAGTAGAAAGGAGAGAAGAAATGATGACTAGACCAGCAGCTCCTAGGAACTTCTACAACTGAATCCCAACTATATACAACCGCAAGCTCTGGAGTGGTGGTGGAGATGCAGCACGATAGGGGCAATAGCTCAATCGCTACATAAACAAATGCCTCCACATGGTATAAATAGATTTAATGCAGCGGTGCATTAACCAAGCCGCTCCCTGAAGATCCCATTCAAGGAGCAGCTGTGATAAACCAGGCAAAATCAAGTTAGAAGAGATAACATTTCAGCTGTTAAGATGCCACGCTATATGTTGTCCTTCCCACTTCCCACTCAAATCAGTACAGAAGGGGCAAGCTTTAAAGCCATTTCTGCTTCAGCAACCATGGCTACTCTGATCATGCAACGCAACTCATCAAACTATCTTTGCAGCAGAACATAAACTTGCCAACCTAAACCTTTTTAAGGAGATGTTTTCCAGTCAAACTGAAGGTTGTTAAAACCGTTGACTGCTTCTAGACCACTAAGCAGTTGGTTTCCCAGATCTTGTTGCTGTTGACTCATGTTGCGTTCTCTCGCCATTGTAATGCCCCCTAATCCATTCATGACTGAAGGGTTATTACCCAATGCAGCTCGCATTCCATTAACCATTGCAGCTTGGCCCAGTCCGTTGTTCATACTCCCGAATCCAGCACCAACGCCTGTACTGTTAGCATTGGCTGTCCCATTCCTAACAAGGCAATTGCTTCCATTGAGAAGAGAATTATTACTTGTTGCCAACATCCCATGTCCATTTTTCATATCATTCCCAATAATACCATTACCTACCATGCCACTGCCACCGAGCTGTGAAGACATCATCATTTCATGTATAATCTTTTGTACAGAACTCTGAGAGTCATTAGCATCCACATCATTCGAATGGGCTGGTTGCTGCATTGAGATTTTTGGGGAATTTGCCGAGTTCATATGCTGCACTGATGATAAGCCACTGTGTGAAGCTTGTGGTGTATTGTTGGATGACGATGGTGTTGGAGATTGGAATTGAGAAGAGTTGGGTTGAGACTGAGGCATTGTACTTGAAGAATTGGGTGAAGGCATTTGGACAGTATTTCCTGAGTAGGTACCACTTCCACCATTCATTGGATTTTGTTGCCTGGAGTTCATGGAATTTTGGTGCAGTAATCCGACAACAGTACCACTAGACGAAGTAGCAGGTACTCGGTTCACTGAGTTGTGTACATTCGACATACCATTGCTCAAAGGTAGTGGCGGTACACCAGGCTGTGAAGTCGTCTCATGGTTAGAGCTACTGACTATTTGATGTGTATGTTGCTGCTGTTGTTGCTGCTGCTGTGGCTGCTGAGTCTGATCCTCAATTGATTGAACTGGACCTTGTACTCCAGCTGAAGTGCCGTTCCTACGAGGAAACTTAGCCAAGCTCTCTGGAAAATTAAGAGATGGGCACAATGTCAACTGTAAGAATAACATGAAAAACATAAAACGCCAGGAGAGATAATCAACACTAGATGAAAATAAAAAAGGTTCATCGCGCACAAGTTGAATATCTACTCCAACTTATCAATTAAGCCGCGCACAAGTTGAATATCTACTCCAACTTATCAATTAAGCGCACACAAAAATGGTCACAGGTTGAGAGGATAACACTGGGCAGACATAAAAATTGTTTAATGATAAGTTGAGCTCCCACTCTTTTACCCCCACAAATTAAATTTTGTTTGATTACCGCTTGACTCATGAATGTTGGGGAAACACTTCCCCACTTATCCGGTCTTCTGGGATTTAAATGTCACAGCAAACTCCAAAGCACAAAGAGTTAGCACTAAGATATGAAACACCAAATCCTCATTATCGAAAAAGACTAAAGACAGAATCCAGATTGCCACTAGGAATAGTGATATATTGCAGGGCGAACGAGGAAATTGATAAGAAATTCAGGGGGAGAACTGTGCTACTGGATCATGAGCACCAGAGAGAAAATTAATTGGACATTATGTCAACATAAAAGTGAGCCTTAGTTTGCAAGAGTTTAGTGTCCTACTCTCTTGTCCCCCACGTTCATTCATATTGTGAGGCTCAAGTTATTACATGACAGATATATTACCAACAAATTTGACTAAAGATGCAACAGAATTTGCTT